GGATATGAGATGACAACAACAACCATCGAGTAAGTCAGTGAGATTTCCTGGGAGATGAAATTTGTCGCAAAGTTCCGAAGCAGAGCCAAGTCCCTTAGAAGAGTACCTCAATTTCGTGATGTAATTCTATAAGGAAGCGAACGGAATGATGCTCCTGAGAAATCCTTAAAAACATGTTCATCTGCATAAGTAATCGTCTCTTCAGAAATACTTTCATCAGCACATATGCGAATATGTATTTAGTTTAGTGTTATCATCTTTGGCTATAAGATAAATATTATTTCTCTGGTCTGATATCCGCTGCATTCGCAGCTTGTCGATGCTTGAAACAGCACAGAACACGGGTTATTTATGCATATCGCAAAATGGTGGATCGATCATATGACTGACAAGTATCTAGATTTCGGCATGTGCCTAGCGGCCCTTCCTCAAGGTAAAGAGGATGACATAATTCAAACCGCTTACGTCGTCTGCCGCAAGTGGTAAGTACAGGCCTCTAGGATCCATACTTATAAACTTTTAGGGGAGAGGCGAACGACCATCGAACCTTGGCACTCTTTGAATTTTGAAGAAGGTCCGTGAGATATGAAGCAAAACGTCTGTATCAATTAGGCATCCACTGTCTAGCACTTTTTTTGTATCTCACATTGCTTTCAGTATGGGTATTAATACACGAATCAAATACCCCAGTTTTCAAGTACTTCTCTACACCCAGCACGGCGTATTATGGGAAGCATTATGTGCAAAAGCAGCTCTGCCTCCATCTTGTTCATACTTGTTACCTGATACATGTCAACGTTCAGGTCGACGTCTTCCACGTTCTTGCTCACATATTATAGGCTTGGAGGAGGGCTGAAGTAGTGGGTAATTCTCAGTCACATTTTCTAGCACGGACAGACTTGCTTGTTCAACCTTAACATCTACCGAAGGCACCTATGAAGCAAATTCTTAGAATAATTTTCGAAATCTCGATGTTTCTCGGCGTGTGGCACAACAGATGCAAGTACGTTACTCGCTTTCTTTCAAAATTTTTCCTTTAGGGTCATTTTCCAGGGACACAGACTATGCATGCAGGTTACTGCCATAAACCGTGACGCCACTCGTAGCAAATCATGTCTCACTTACATATTACTTTGTCGCTTAGGTCTAGAAGGCAGCCAACGACGTCACCCTTCTTCCAGTTCTTGCCGTACGACTCACAACCGAGGTGCCACTTCCTCGCCAGAAAGCCGTCATATGCGTATGATAGCTCGTCCATTCCTAACTCTTTGTCGGCACCGCAGTTGATGTCCATCCAGCCTACCTTCATGTAACCCAAGCTGCGAACTTCGAACTCGAAGTACCACTTCCCGCTCGTTACCGCGTACGATCGTTCGGCTCGGTAATTTCTCAGTTTGACACCTGCCGATTCCAGCGGGTGGTTGAAGACTATATCAAGAAAGTGATAGATCCTCGATCAGGAAATAGAACGAACTCCCCCACTTACAGTCGTCGTGTTCCCCCGTCGGCACCTCGATAGTGTAACCGTAAACCAACAATGTAAGTAACAGCTGATTGGCGTTCTTTCGGTTGACATCTTTGATCTTCTCGGCGACTGATTTGTATGGCACCAAATGGGGTGATCTCTTCATCAGGTAATCCTTTAAAAGAAAGAGATGGATAAGCGAAACTAAATTCAGGATCTCGCTAAAAACCATACCTCATTCAAACCGTATGTCCATCCTCGTTGTATCTTGTTCTGTGACCAGATATTGTGCGTATTTTCCGCCAGCTGATCAACAAGTACATCTAGCTTCGGATCGAGCTGCACCTCGCGAGTGTCTATGGGAGCAGGTCTGTAGCCATTGGACATCAGGAAACTGAAAGCACGAAACTACAGTAAAAAACGGACTGACTATGGTCCCAGTGCCTACTTTGATCCCAGCCGAAGAGTTTTGATCCTGTTTTGTGGCTTTCCCGTGTTGATCCTGTAGCCTAAAGCCAAAATCGTCCTGGAACAAGATTATTTGATTAGGCAAACCAGTGGAAAAGGGTATCATATATACTTTATTGTATCTTGGGCCAAATTCGTGATGTAAGTTTTTTCCACGTTGGGAAGTACTGCGTATGCGACCAGACAAGGATTTGTATGTTTAGACTCACTACGACGCTGAAAATCACCATCTCTAAAGTCGTCTTTCAATCTCTCAGACTTTGCATTTACCTCTCCGTAAATCCATCCCTTTTCGATTTTTTCCATCGACCACATTTCGTGCATGTTTTCTGCCAATCTTTCGCATGCGGTTTCAAGCGACGTCGGTATCATGATCTACAAACAAAATGGCTCCTTAGAAAATCGCCTCAGTCAACGCACATGGCTTACTTCGCTCGTGTCGACCGGCGTAGGAACGAAGATCACATGATTCAGTATCGTAGTTGAGGGTCCAAGGAAAATGTTCTTCTTCATATCGCCAAACGAAAAGCATGGCGCGATGTCTACAGGACCGGTTGCCGCTTCGGATATTGCGGAAAACCCCTTATGGGGTCCGTAGCGCAATTTTCCGTGTAATCCTCCAAGCATGAATCGGCAGCTGTGAAAATAAACGAAGCGCATTTAATGACTGACCAAACAGACGAAAGCAGAAAGGATCAGTCATCGATCTGCAGACAGAGATATTTTGAATTTCACATCCAAGTTTCAGCTGAAGCTCTTAAATAAGCCACTAAGCTTTATGCTTCAGCTGTAAAAATTCAGATAAAGAATTAACGGTGCGTCAAAAATGTTTTTGTGAAATGCTTAATTAATTTATACAATTATATTTAAAAATCATAATTGTGATATACATGATGGAAAACTCACGATAACCGCGCCTGGGCGTTTTATTCTCAAATTTTATTCACGCGCTCAGTATTCAATAATGTCAAAAATGACTTAATAATAAATGTTCAGGCTTGATAGTAAATGTAATCAGATTTATGCCATTTGAATTTTAATTCTTCCAGTGTATTTTTCAGATATCAAGTAAGCTCAGGATATGTTTAATACGGCTGT